GGTATTTCTCGTGTGCGCGGTGCTCTGCTCGGTCCCGCGGGGGGTGTGGGAGGGGTGGGTGTCAGACCTCCTGTCATCGGCTGGGCAGTGTCTGAAGAGGGTAATTTAGACTTCTATGAAGCTCTCGTATTTGACACATACGTCAAAAATTAATCCCTGAAATGTGTTTTGGTGTGTCCCCCCCCCCCCCCTTTTTTCTCATTCTTCCATAATATACGGTTCATGGTTTGAACACTCTGTTTTGCTGTAGCACCTAAATCATCGCCAGCCCACCGGGCAGCAGTTTCAGGATCAGGAATGGTAATGCTTTGATGATAACCGGTGATGATACGGTTAATTTTCTTACACCGTAGCAGAGGAGGACTTAGAGCATCTCCTCTCTCCCCTGAATCCAACCGGGTGACACGGAGCAGCCTCCGCCGCCAATAGTGTGGGGCATCGGGTGCTTCTGGGCAGAGGCACCTCGAGGGTGTTTTAGGTGGCCAGCCGCAACACCTGCATTCCTGCTAGGCTGCCCGGTGGCTCCCACTTCACCGGGGTGCATCCACACAACTCTCTTCCACTGACCTGTAGCCTGGAAGTCGTTACTCGTGAGCAGCTCTTGCGGAACGGGAGGGCAAAGGAGCGCTGCATGCTTGCCCTAGGTTCTGCAACTGGAGTGATCCCCAACAAGGTCTGTTGTAAGGAAGGAGCCGTCTGAATAATGACCTGTGCTAATTACCAGATGGGAACAAGAACAGGAGCATAAGGGAACTCGGATACCTGTGGGCAGAGGTGCTGTGTCCTATAACCCCATCAGACCACTGATAAAACTTCATCCTAAAACCAGCCGTTCCAGCTGGAAAGCTTCCTGTTCTGATGATTTCCCCCCCCCTCCCCCTCTAATTATCAACCTAAATGTGTTCACAGTGCATTTATTCTTTTGCTGTCATGCCAGCATTATCCTTTTGCTTCAGCAGTTTTGTTTGTCTCCTGTGATATATTTAGAGAGCAATCCTATCCGCTCTCGGCCTGCATTTGGCTAGGCTAAACAAGCCAGGCTCTTAAGTTTCTTCTTGTTTGATAGGTTTTCTGTTTCCCCCAGGCCCTTTCTGCACCTGTTAATTTGAGTTCATAATTTTTAAATGTGGGTGACCAGAATTTTTTTTTTATGATGCTCCTGTCATCAGTGCCTGCACAATAGCACTGGTATTTCACTGCCTTGTCTAGACTGCTTTTTTTTTTTGATGGCCTCATCATCTCTGTGATTCCCTAATGCAGCTTTAGTGGTTATTTTTCCTAACTTTACTGTGAATATGCACAATTGTTAGATAAATTGTGTTAGCTAAATAAATAGCTCTCGTCTCTCACTGTCTCATGCCCGGTAATGTGGGGAGAAGCTGAAGTCATCATAGCACAAGTCTGTGCATGTTGATGCTGTAAACTGGTACCTTGTCCTCAGGGGCAAGCTTTTTCCAGGAGGGATGGCAAGGGCTTTTTACTGCATCTACTTAACGTGTTGGCTGATGTAAATATGCTGGAGTGAGGGAGCTTTCATTCCTCCTAGCAAAGACGAGTTCCCAGCCTCGGCTCCCTCTCCGGGAGCCACCTCTAGCCCTGTTCCAGTGATAGGGGACTGGGTTGCTGCAGGGGTGGACGTGATGCAGGGCTCAGAGTTAGGGCACAGAGCCCTGCAGCCTGGGCTTGACCTGCGAGTGCTTCTGGCTGTAGCTGCAGCTCAGCTGCTCTTCAGTTTTTCCAAAGCCACAGCACAGCGCTGAGCCCTCTGCGAGACTCTTCAGCTATAAATGGATCTGGCCTGTCCCAACCCCCCCCCCCCCTCCCCCACAACAAATTTTTCGCGGGAAATTGGAGTTGGGCCAG